GTCACTGCTGCATGAAGTTGCGCAGGCGCGATAGGCTCCAATATTTAGTTTTGATATTGGAATAGTTTCTTTTACATTATGTTAAAAATGGTAAAATAAGAGCTATGTAATTTCATAATTGTTTTGATGGCGCTTGTTAATAAATGTGCCTCTGAACCGTGCCGATTATGGTTCCGTCTTGTTCTTTTCCCCTTTCTCATTCTATTTCTTTCTTATACTATTGGTCTTATCTGATGAGGACAGCAATGGACTTGAAGCACAAGGCAAGCGACCGCGAGGAGCCCCAAAGAAGAGGTGGAGAGACGTCATCAAGAAGGACCTAAGTGAAGTACGGCCACAGCAGAAGATGCCCTGGACAGAGCAAGTGGCGACGACTGACAAAGACAGCGGACCCTGCGACTGCGCGGGACTAACGCTAGGGAGAAGAAGAAAAAGATGAAAAGGGAGAACCTTGCCCTCTTCCTAGTGAAAGGCAGTGATCACGATATTTGGAGAGAGTTTCACTTTTGATGTCGTTCTTGAATGTCATTGGCGCAAGGGTGTTATAAGGTGGACCTCAATTGTGTGGTGTGGTGTCCCAACCAAACTCCCCAGCGCCCTGGCAATTGTGGTCCTTCTGAGTGTAGAGCGCTTCCCTGGAACGGCCATGCTGTGGAGGCTTTCACGTGGGCTACAAAACGGATGTTCACTTTTGCTGAGTGCCCCTGAAGGCCGAAGAAGTCGGAAAAAATTTGCTGGGAGCGGGTAATTTCCACCGGAAAAAATCGCCTGAGAGGGTCACTGTTGAACCTGGTAATAAATTGACACCTACTTCTGGCACTGGCATTATTTGAAGCAAATCATCCTGAAGCGCAGAAATTTTGCTAACACGGGAATTACCTTGGACCCATTTTTTACCGCATTTTGGCTTGAAGGGCCGCTCAGCGAAAAAGGACGTCGGTTTTTTCGTCCCTTCACGAGTTTTAAGTTATAAGATGTGGGTACTCGAGAGCAGGAACGTCGTGCGGCAAGAAATCCGTCAGCGGACGAGTAGTAGCGTGTGCTGTACAATGTACAGTGGTACATTCTATTTAACTTGACGCGAAATCACTACAGTACGCGCTGCGACTCGTCCGCTGACTCTGCCTTCTTGCCGCGCGACGGGCCTCCTGTCGGGTACCCCAAATTGGTTTACGGACTACTTGAACTTTCTTCCATGGTCCTGCCACGAATGGCGGAGGGCACAGACAGTTAGAGAACGGCGCCTGGCTCGGCTCCAAATCCCAGGAAGGAGGTGAGAGCCCTAGGACTAAGCCTTGTAGGAGGGAGGGACTTCGAGGTGGGTGAGCCAACTACAGTGTGGCAAAAGTTTGAATGTGTGATCACAATGGTCATGAGCCGCTGATAAGGTGAGAGAGCGCAGACGAGAGATGGATCTGAGGCGGCTTAAAGGACCGGGTTCAAGTAGTCCGTCAACCACCCAAATTACGTTTATTGACTTATCAAAACCGCATTGCCCTCCTGCCATCGCTAGAGAGAAGTTTCTTGTGTAAGCTTTTTTCCTGTATAAGCTTCTTTATTTCTACTGTATCCGGATCACTGCTTTCAAAGTAATGATTTTTCTTAATTTGAAGATATAGTGAGCAGAGCAAGTTCTCCTTGTTCAAATATAGCCGATACAGTGGCCCGGTTACTCTGCCCGAAGCCCCTTCTGTGTGGACTGATTTTGTACATGATGACACATTCCATTGCGTGCCATCAAAAAATAACTTTCTGACTTACAAGACACTGATAACCGAATAATATAAAAAATTAACTCATGACGGATTTGTTCCAGTAGGGAGAAATATCGCCTTTTCAGGCGATCTTCAGAGAAACGAAGAGACCGTCGAGAGAGATGCAATTGACGATCAGCCAACAGCTGGGCTTGGATCCCACGACAGTGGCCAATTTTTTCATGAATGCCAGACGGAGAGGCCATGATCAGAAAGCCGACGACGATATGAGCACAATCAGCGGTGGCAGTAATCATTGCTTTGATGAGCAGGTAATGAAGCCTCCCTCTGGTGAAAGCTGCCTCTTACGATTCTTGTGATTCTCATTGTTTACAGGTGTTATCTCCTCTGCCGCCGACGCCGGTCTTCGAACAGCTCTGATAGGCCACAACGTCGTCGAACGTTGTGATAGTTTGATGGTTATCCTGGACGTATTTCTCTTAACCCCTTTGCCTTATCGTCTTCGATTTGTGTGTCCGTTTTTGTGCAAAGTGCACGATCTCGCTGTCCGGTCTCGTACTGAGGGGTGGTTGCCAGTGCACATTTTTTTCAGTGACTTTGGTCATTCAATAAGCCGGAATTCTTGTGCCATATGAAGCGATACTGAGAACAAAAGCTCAGATATCGCGACCTGATTGATTTGATTAATTAATTTATTTGTTTCCTATTTATTCTTTGACACTTATAATGTTTACAGCTTATTTTCTTCCCTTAACTAGTTTGAATCTTCCCTAGATTTGTGTTTATTTCGCCACGCGAATCTCCCATACTTCCTTCTTTTTTCGCTCACATGCACATTTTCGTGAGTTTGTGCTTTGGCAGAGTCCTCAATCTGCCCTCAGTTGTCTCACTTACCTGTGATTGTTGCAATCCATAGGCTTTCTGCTCTCGAAGCGCCAACGCCCGGGTTTGACTGTTTGTCAGACCGATCAGGAATTGGCTCGTCGCCAGAGAGCTTTCTTCCATGGCACGTCCTCTTCTAGTCTTAGCCATCTCATCTTCATTCTAGTCTTCAAAACATCCCATGGTTTTCGATCTCGACTTTAGACCCCTACTCGTGTCACATTACAGCCTCATTTTCACTTTTCTCAGCGTATTCCCATAGCTTTATTATTTTATTGCTAGTCATTTGTCATTTTTTGGACAACGTATAATAATATATGGATGAAGGTTTAACTTATTCATAAACTTGCGATCATTTCATGTTTTGCACTCATTTTGCTGTAAGTAGCGGTGGAAAAAGCTTGGCGGTAGGGATGGCCTCCAGGATCAACCGTCGCGTGCGCACTTCCAAGGATATTGCGCCCCTTCCTTCGAGGGGAAGGGGTCTCAACACGACCCCCATCACTACCATTAACCTGGAAAGGCTCCTCAGCCGCTACCTCCTATTTACTACTCCCACCACAACCGCGACATGATGGCTATCGGTAGAATTTGATTCTGAGACCAGACGACACAGCTCACCTCCCCCTCCCTTCTCCTCCAAAACGGCCGTGGTAAGGGTGGGGAAGTAATATGTACGATAGAACTGCAAGTGGCTCATACTCTCTACGCTTCCTTGGTGAAGTTGTCGGAAAATCGTCAGAAAACCCGTCATAAATAGCCCACCTCTCACCGCCCCTTTGACTTCCACAAATACAACCGCCAATTCAGTCAGCCTTGGTAAAACCCAAATATGGCTCCCTTCCCAAGATTATAAATGCGACCCCCACGTTCGAATAGGTAGTGCGAACGGATGGTTGATCCTGATGGCCTCGATGGATAACTGAGGAAAGAAAAGGGTTATGTGAAGAACAAAAGGTGGACCTGCTGTCATTGACACAAATTTTCAGTGTGGTTCCTAGCAAATTTTTTCCTAGTGCTAGGTACGGAGAAAACGGTGGCGTGAATGGCACTCGTGCTCGTATGGGAACTACTGTTTACAACGAATGTACACATATTCCGGTAATGCAGGTTATCGCAGCACTACACATTTCTTGCCTTGGCTACATACATGGCCGAAGGGTATTTCGCGCATGGAGGATAGGGCGGGGGAGGGATTACGTGACGACTTGAACTCTCCCCTGTATTCACTGCCACAAAAGGCCAGAGC